CATTCCTGCCTACTGGCCCAGGCAGCTTTTTATGGATCTTCTTCATCTTTCAAAGAAAGGCCCTTGAAGTATTTTTGGATGAATGATTCCTCTGCGTAGCTTGCTTCAAACCACTACCAAACCACTGACAGCAGACACACAAGATCTTACCTTAAAAAATCCCAAATATTTCCGCCATCTCTTTCCAAAAAGTCTGGAAATTAAAATTGTTCAACTCGGATATAAAATGGACAGATTCTTCCTGTCCCATATTTCCTGTAGAGCTGTCATCTTTTCTGTCATCTTTGCTGATGTCTTTTTGTAAGTTTGGAGAATTTCCAATTTTACTCTCCGGATCCTATTGTGGAAATAGCATGAGCCGATGCTTTGCACTCCTGAGGCTGTACGATTTATAGATGGAGAGTAGAGCTACAATAAGCTTGCCTTTAGGTGGTACATTAAAAAAAAAAAAAAGTTTATGATTGTGAAAGAAGCCGTTTCCCTGGCAATTCCTGACTTCTTTTTGTGTTGGATATGGCATTTAGCTTCCATGATACTATCACAGAGAGCTGACTGACAGGCCTATTGCACTCTGCTTGCTCCCAGCACATCACTTCAGTAGGAGCATTACGATTACTCTTGCAGAGAGTGAATGTGTTTTGACAAAAATTAAGCCGCACCGCCTCATCCCAAAACACCCATTCTGTCATTCAAATTCAAGATGAAATATACTTTTAATTATACAAATAAGTTTAGAAAGCTCTTGTGGAGTGCTGCCTATACACACGACTATTGCTGTTCTCCAGGTGGGACTTTAAACATTGATTTTATTGGCAGAACACTCACTGCACATTCAAGGTTTTTATTTTTATTTTTTCTTCTTTCTACCTTTTTTCTTTTTTTAAAATGCTGCTGCTTGATACTGACCCATTTCTGCCCTTTTGCTAGAATGTGAAAACACAGAACCGGCACAGTGGGACTCAAAGAGAATTTGCAGTTAAACCCAGACTCCTCAGCAAAGAAGAATACGCTGTACAAAATTAGATAGTGCTATGAGTAGTACTATTTTAGTCCTTTAGCATAAAAAAAAATCCGCACATATAAATATGCATCAGTATCAAGGGCACAGACACTCAGTTTGCTAAGGTTGTGCTGTGCTGTATGGGTAACGCCGAGTACTTTGCAGGCAAGAACTGCTGTTGCCAAGGGGAGCACTTGTTGCTGCAGAGCTGCTGCTGCAGCAGCTTCCATTCCTTGGTGCCGGGTCAGCGTGGTTCTGCTGTGGGTGGGAAGGGGACCTGCCCCGTGCCGTTACCCTGCAGAGTGTGGATGCGGGAGGGAGCTTCGGGGCCGCTCGGTCTCCCTCTGCCCTCGGGTGAGCACGTCCCTGTCGATACGGGTGCAGCGGTGACATTGAGGGAGGTGGCTGAAAACCGAGAGAAAGGCTGTCTGCTGGTGAGGACACGAGAATAAGATTTGGGATAATTAGATACAATTTCACCTCTGTCAGATTTCCTCTGACACCCTAAATAAAACATTTAGCACCTTATCCCAACTAGCAGCAGTCTTTGCATTGTCTAGAGCTAATTTTGGCCTGCACATCTCAGCTTAATGTACCTCCACTCCCCATCCGCAAAATGGGGAAAAATAATCTTTCCTGCTCATTAGCACTTATGAAGCATTCAGATATTATAGTGATGGAAAGCACCCGCACAGAAAGACTTATTTTCATGGCTGAAACATGCTCAAATAGCCTGGTATTGTTTATTCCATCCATTTACCTTGGCTTATCATATTCCTTCGGGGAAATTCTCCTTTTATTTCCTTTCCTTCAAACAACATTGGCCTTATTCTGGTAAGATTTGTCCTGTAATTAATCACCGAGTCAAATTAATCTTGTTTGTAATGCCATTGTTGTCAGTGCAGTTACTCCACAGTTACTTTTAACCCCTTAAGCAACCGCATTATTCGAGCTGTCATCTTCCCAGTCTCCATTAAGCCTTTCCATTATAAAGGGATCTGACAAATGCTCATATTTGAAACATGTCCTTAGCAATCACTGCAAACAAATAAAGAAGCCCCCAAAAGCTGATCACTTCTATATATCATCTCTTTTTATGCCTCTTACACATCTGGCTTTTGTCCGTTTCATGTACATGGTCTCTGGGCAACCTGCCAGTAGTTTTCACTTTCTGCAGCAATCCCAAAGTCTTTTATTCACATTTTTGGTTACATATTGGCAATGAAAATATTATCCAACCTTAGCTAAAACTTTCCTGCATCACGATCATGCCCCTTTCCTTCTTGCATTTATTGAAGTGAGAAAATATTAGAAAGGTGCTGAAAAGATACACCTAGAGATACAAAGGACATTCAAAAAGCAGAAAAAAAATCATAAACACCTATAAGAATAGTTGCTTATTTTTGCTAGCCTTACCCAGGATTTCTCATTGGAATGCTATGCTAAAAACGTGAGAGTTCATGAACCAAGGCAGGAGTTCCTGATAAAATTAACAGATCAATATCCTCTACAGCACAGAGTCTCTATTCGATCCCAAACCAACAAACAAAAAAAGAACATGCCATTCTGTTTTATTTCACAGTGAGGACAAAGTCAATTTAAGAAGGAGTTGGGGGAAGACACAGCTGGAGAGCAGAGTTACCAGCCTCAGGAAATTCAAGGAAATGTAATTGAGAACGAATTATCTCTTTAATTACTTTTGACCAAATCAATGAAAACCATGGAATAAAAAGCATGATGACCACCACCTGGTAGGGGACAA